CATACATACATACATAAACAGCCACAACCGCTCCAAATTTGTTTGGCAGTTAATCGCACTGAGGCGCGTTAATCATGGCGGTGTATTAAGAGGTGGAGTGGTGGGTGCTTTAGGGGGTGGTGGCTGCGCTTAGTGGTGGTTAAGTCGGCTGAGGTGTGGTTGCAGATTTAGCGAGTTGACACCTTTGACGTAGAGTTGCCGCTGAAGTGGGAACTGAAGGGGGATGAGTGCTAAGGGGCTAACTTCCTAGTGACCTAGTTTACAAACGCTCTCACACACACACACACACACAGGCTCACAGCATTAATTACGCCGAGAATTCTGCACAAAATGCGACAAATGCTTCACTTCACTTGGCTGCCTCCTCACCTGCTGCTCTCTTCTACACACAAAAAAATTAGACCCTTTATGATGATATCAATTCGTCTTAATTAGCTTTGTTAACTTCTTTATCAACAAATCAACACAGCAGTAAAATGCTACAAAAGAAAGTACACAGAAAAAAATGTAATGTTTTACATATCTCATTAACTAAATCTACGGTGAATCTTTCGGGATTTGAGCATAACGAATATGTAAATGTTCGAAAAATGTGACTTTCTACATCGTAACTCTTTAAGACCTTTTTGAAACAACAACTTATTTTTTTTGAGTGCACTCCTTACTCCTCTTTGGGGCACTCTCCACCTTTCTATCGCCGTCTCGCTCACTTTACACTTCACTTACTTTGCGTATTGCCGTTTAAAAATGCGATGTTGTTTTTGTTGTTATTGTTGTTTTCGCTACGGTTGCTCTCGCTTGTGTCCTTTGCAGCTGCTTCTTCTTCTCGGTCTCCGCTTTAGCCTTTGCCGTTGTTTTTGCCTTTGTCTTTGTCTGCTCCTTTGCTTTTGCTCCTTTGGCCGGTGCTTCAATTGTTTCATAAGACGCTTCTTCTTTTTCGCTGCTCCCTTTTCCGTGGGCAGGGGGCGAAGGGGGTGTGGTTTTTTTTTGAGAAGGGGTGTCGCGGTATTTCCAAAAGGGGTCAGGGGCCAATTCAGTGTTTGTTGTTGCTTATGCTGTAGCTGTTGTTGTTGTTGTTGTTGTTGCTGCTGCTAATATCGCTGTTGCGGCGGCGTTGTTCAAACATAATTTGATGACTGCGCATTACAATCGATAATCCCATGCACAAATGCAGCTCAGCAGTTCGGCATTGGCTTAAATCCATTTTAATGAGAACGGATCCCGATAATTCCGTAAGCCCCAAATGATGGCAATTTCTTTGCAGGTCCTGCTCCTGCTGCTGATGCTTTTTATCCTCTCTCTCCCTGGTTTTTATATGTTTGTTGCACTTTCACAAATAATACGAGAAAAAACTGAGACGTGCGAGGGGCGTGAGCTTTTTTTTGTCAACTTTGTTTGAGTTTCGGTTTTTGCGGTTAAATTAAATCAATTTAGCTATAGACCTTTGTACAATATATATATTTTCATTGAAATTTTCGTTAAATTTCTTATCAAACTAGCTTTTGGCATTGAGGCCCATGAATTATTAATGTATTCGTTTAATTTCACTTGGCTTTAGCTTTAACACACTTCACTTCAATCAATTCCCGCACCGTAATTCCATTTAGCACGTATTTTTTGGGGCTACACCTTTTCGCGAGTATTATTTTATTCACAGAGAGTGGTGTCCTTTTTTGTGTCTTTTTTTGTACAGACTTTTTCGCATTGTATTCGGGGGATGAGTCGCGAGAGGCTCCTTCTGTGTTCGTTGTGTTCCAAATGTATCCGACGACTGGAACTCCATGACTGACATTTACTTTTTCGCCTCGCCAGGACGAAAGCTTAGCGCGCAGAAGCTTTCGTGGGAAAGCTCTCGCTTCCGCTTTTCCAGTTGCCAAGTCGGGTTTTTTGAAGTTTCGCTTTTAGTTTGGTGGCCAAGTCGAAAGTCGCGAAACTCTCCGGGCAATTACGGTTATAATGAAAGTAGTTGGGGACATGGGGCGGGGTGCTTTCTGGTGGTTTTGGGGTGGCAAGGACGAGGGCGAGGGTTTAAGGACACCGGTTTTATAGAGTTGTCAAATGGCCCCAGGAATGGCCAGTCAAAACATCAAAATTCACTCGCAATTGGCCAAGGGCAATGCAAAAACAACAAGCAAAGGAACAGGATAAGAGGGGGCCGTTTGTTTTGAAAGCGAAAGGCCATAATCGGTTGCACGCCACATTCAAAGCCAAAGTTGAGTTTCATTTTTGGGGTCGCCTCGCCGAGTCAAACATGCAAACACGCACACGGGCCAAGGAAGGCGAGCAAGGTGAGGTCCTTGTCATTTAACTCACTTGTCGAGTTGACCTTTGTTTGGTCGGTTCGGTTGTCGTGCGCCAGTGTACAACACCTAATGCCCAACTGCCACGCCTTGAGCTTGATCCATAGCAACTTGTACTTTTCTACTACTACCTATACGTGTGTCGCCCCAAGCCAACTACAATGGGAAATGGGGAAAGGAAAACCCCGGAAACCCTGAAAAAACTCCCCCTTCCGCACTTAGCTGCAAAAACAACCTTACCCCCCAGGATGGCAATGTGCATGTTTGATGAGCTTATCAAGGCTCTGGGATTATTGAATATTTTCGAATCGATATTGTCCGCACCACACCGTTAGTTGGCACCTTAATTGCCAACTGAATAAATCATTGAAAATTTTTGGCAATTAGTTTGACAACCTCAACTGTCCGATCAATCCGAAGGATTCTGCGGTCCAAAATAAACTTTTGGCATTGCGAAAGTGTTCAAGCCAAGGAATTGCAAGACCACCACCATTGTCGACTGGGGAAATCAATTACTTAAATATTTATATCTGCATGGGGAATGCGGCCATGCTGAAATGCACTTGTCTTGAAATCTGTCAGAGAATAACTGGCAAATGAATCTGTTGAATGGATTAAATAATTTCCAGATGTGTGAATACAAGGACACGGGTTATGGCCTTTGTTTATTCTGCACACAAATTTTATACAACTCATTCGTTGTTTAATTTTTGATTTGTTTTCAAAGTCAGTTAGAGCATTAATTAAAGCAAAACCTTTCAAATAAATTGGTAAACACGAGTTGCCTAATAATCAAAAATAACATTGTAAAATTTTAATGACAAATGATGGTTTCTGAACTGCGTTGTTTGTGAAGTCAGCATGGACAATAGCTTATTGCCAATAATAAAATATTAATTAAACCGAGTTTTTGCTTTACAATTTTACATTGGCGTGAATCTATTTTCGTTTATCAATTATGTTTAGTTTATATAAAGGCTTTGTTTATTAATCATGAATTGAACCATGCCTTTAATTGAGATTAATCTTGAACTATAACTAGCATAACCCTGAGATTGGGTTTTTCCTATTGCGTTGTTAAATTTCCTAGAACTACTTTACAGATACAGTAAATGGGCTGATAAGGTTTATTATGATTCAGACGATGTAAGAAAATTCAATAAACATGTTAAACAATTAAATATAATATAAATATATAACAATTTCAGTACTGTTAAAGTAGTCTCAAAAATATATAGCCAAAGTAAAAATTATTTAAAATTGAATTGCAGTAATCATATTGATAGCCTCATGTTGTCATTGATAAAACCGTAAATTCCAGTTCAAAAAATCTGAATGGAATACTTTTGCAAAAAACCAGAAGACCTTAGAATTAAATATATAATTACTGAGCCAACAGTCACCCTCAAGTTGGCAAAGAAGCTCGACAGCCGTGGTGCACGAACGCATCCAACCAAGCCAAGAGTAACTACCACGACGAATGTGGCAACACTCAGGCATTGAGGAGCAGAGTTCAAGTTTCTCTTTGGCCAGAAAAGAACCACAAAAGATTACCAAGCGATGAGCTGCAGCTCATCATCTTCACATCCTTTCAATGGGCGCCGCTAAGTCCTTGGGCATATATGTATGCACAAATATGTGTGGAACGTTTCATTTTTTTCTTACTCATTTTTTTGCTCATCTTTTCTTCTTGGTTCTTTTACCTTCTTTTTGGTTTTGTGTTAAATTGTTGCGTTAACCAAGCCAACCCGCTCCGGGGGCAATCCTTGTAAAAAGTTTAGCATAGCAGAAGGCGCACGCAGACATGCTCGCAGCCATTCACACAGAGCCACCAACACTGTCGTATGCCTGGCATGCGTTTTTCACATTGTTTCATGCGGTTGAATAAACACAAGCCGCATACGCACACATAAACGCACCATCAAAAGGCATCTAAATTCATACACACATATATGTACGTGCATTTTATGATCTGCAGAGAAAGGACCAAAAGAGAGGGAGAGCAAGAGAGAGCGAGACAGAGAGGGAGAGCAAGAGAGAGGGAGAGGGACATAGACACTTATTCGCTCGCTTGCCTCGACAGGCTTACAAAACAAACATTGCGGCATGTTTTCTGTTTGCACACACTGCGTATACGTACTGTGTAGGGCCGTTCGTTTCCTACCTGCGTTTTGTCAGTGCCCAGCAGCACCAACACAGTGACACGGTCCCTTCCACACGAACACATTGCACTAACGTATGCACATTACTCAACTCAACCTGGGGGAAGCCATTGTGCCACAAGCCTTAACCCTTTAGCAGCCAGCTTATTTTCGATTTTGACTCCAAATTTTACAATTTCCATTAGCACATTTAGCATTTTTTTAAGAGTTTAAAAAACTACATCTTACTGTTTTTTTGTAAGTGATTAAAAAAAATGTTTAAAATTAATAAATCCAACAAACCTTTCCGTTCCGTTGACAACCCAAGATTAATCAAACAAGTACAATTAAAAAAAAGGGTACAATAAATTTTTTTAGATTAGTTATTTATATATATTTTTAAAAATATAAGTTGATATTGCATATCATGACTCATAAAAAAAACAACAGCTCTCGCTGAGAAATCTGTGTTGGAAAAGCGATAGTGAAGTGTATGGATCCGGCAGCTATAAAAAGCGGAAAATGTGTTTAACAAATTGTAGTTCGATCGCAACCACTGAACAAGATGAAATTATTCTTGCTAGCTGTTTCAACATTACTTTTACTGGTAAGAAAAGTTAATTTTATTTTTCCAAACAACTTTACTAAACCATTTTTGTAGAATCCCATCAGTGGATTGGCTACCCATAGCGACAAAGAAAAATTCTGTAATTTTTTGGAAGGCGTTGAGCATGATCGTCTTGGGTTGGCAGATACTTTAACGGACAAAGCCTTGGAAGTCGCAGAAAAAGTTATTAAGAAATTAGGAAGAAATTCAAGTTTTGAGAAATTCATTAACGACAATTTGGTGGAATTGAGTATTGCTATTCCGGAACAAAAGATTGAGTTTCTTTTGAAGTTCCGTTGTAACTTCAAGAAAATGATCCTTTGTAATCGAAGCTATAGTGGCAACCCGGAATTCCGAAATATCTACAACTCATACAAATCAGATAGCAATAAGGAAATAGCGAAATTCGATGAACTACTCACCAGAGATGCATATAAAATGCTGATGTTTATGCGAAGCACTTCAACCTCAACCAAAGATGAATTCAATGACGCTCTCGAAACTTATCTGAATCGTAAAGGAGTAAATGCTCACTGCATGATGGATCGTTTTCTTAAGCTGAAATCCAAGTACGAATGCACTTATCAAATGACGTACCTCTAAAATAAGATTTATAACCGTATATATTTAACCAGCCTTTCGAAAATATTTCACGAAATAACGTTTAAATTTGATCGCTGATTTTTAAAATGATTTTACATCAAATAATCTGTCAAATTTTTACATGATTTAATTGACTTATAAACTTGAAAGTTGTTTAAGCAAACTTAAAAGATTTAATAAATCCAATTTTCCGGCAATCAATACAATCTCCTATTTTCCTAGAGGCCATTAAAACTTATAATTATGGAAGCATGAAAGTTGAAATTGTTAATTTGTTTTATGCGGGCAAGAAATCCGTCGTGGCCCGATGTTTGGGTTAAAAGTGAACTAATTTACATAGACCGCATGGTACAATGCGCAGGCGGCCGCATGGAGAAGGTAACAAAAAGATTCATTAGGGCCAATCAGTGCAAAGCGAGTCGTGGCGAAGGACATGCGGAGAGGACCTGGCCAAAAGCGTTGGGTTGGCCAAAAGCGGTTGGGTGGGTTACGTGTGTGTAAACGTAAACAGCTCGGGCAGCCCTGGCTCTGTTGTTTGCCTTATAAATACGCACGCTCTACTTTAAACAAAAGCGAAGCCAACCGACCCAATCCCACCCACATACACGTGCCTCCTGCCAGCGCGCCCTTCCCCGCTTGTGTTTGTGCGTCAGTATGTGCAAAACAAATTTAAACTTTACACCCAAAGTTGATTTTTATGAGAAAAACTTTAAATAATGAAATTATCTGCCAAGAAGTTCGGAAAGAGAGTGGCCGGCCGAGCGGGTCAAAAGGAAGAGGGCCACCAAAGTAAGGGCCTTAAGCGATAATGAAGGGAAGAGCCGAACTGATTGCCCCAATATAAACTTTGCAGTCGCTTCGAAAACCAATCAATGGCGTAATTTATGCCGTTATTTTCCCCAGTACGACCACCATACCCTCTAGCCTCCCCAAGGGGGGCGTGGCAGGCCACCCATACTTTCGACCAGTTATCAAATATTTATTTACACTTCAGCTACAATAATTCATTGATGCATCGAGCGCCTGGCACGACACGCTTTCGCCTCGGACTGGTTGGGGTCGCTCCAGAGCAGCACTGAACAGGTTGGGTCGCTGGCAGGCACGACCCGGCAACGTAAACGTCAGGACTAACCTTTGCCCGATGTCCTTCAAAGGCGCCGTCGCTGTGAAAGCAACAGCTGTGCGCTCTCTCATCCAGCGAGCTTCGTTGCCCCGAAGCTTTGTTCGATATCTCACTTCCAGTTTCGAACGTGCTCGAAAGCCTCCTTATCAAAGCTTTCGATAAGGGCGGATTGAAAGGCGGCTCGAGCGAGGTCTATTCAAAAGTTTTCAAATTGTATTTCACCGAAATCATTGTATCAAGAAATTTTATGTGATTACAAGTATTCGATTTGTTAAAAGACTATAAAAAGTAAGGGCTTTATCAAAGTGTTGCCCTTTATTTTTTACAAAACACTTTTTTACTTTATTTATGGTATCAATATATATTTTACAATTTCTTTCTAACTAGAGTACGCACTTGAATCAGTGAATAAAAAAAACTAAAGTTGTTTCATTTCATAAAAATATTGATGTTAAAAAACTGTTTTGCTTTGTTGATGGGTGAACAAAAGTAAAATTGTATAACTGGAACCTATGAACACAAGAAATTGTATATTTAAGTTTACAACGTTGAACTACAAACTTATCTTTTTAGTAGTAATAATCTGTTCATGCTTTCGAGTATAATCTTTGACAAGGTTGGGCGACGGATACAAAACATAATCTAATACACGCACATTTTTGGCAATAATCAGTCGTCGAACTCAAACACTGGTTTGCCATTGGTATCCCAGGTGTTTTTGCATTTCTTAAAGGCACAAACCAGATAGAGAGCTAAAAAGAACCAAATTTAGTAAATGATCTTAAAGAGCAACGGGATGAGGACTCACTTGCTGCTTCCCACTCCGATTTGGAGAGCGTTCCCACCGGCCGACCACGCTGCGATGCCTGGAAGTTTCGCAAATGGGAGAACTGTTCATCGCTTTCACAACGCTGCGTTTGCACCGACTCCAAGCCGGACATGCGCTGCAGGAGGTGCCGACCGTGGGGCAAGCTCTCCTTGTAGTAATCGGCAAATGTCGATCGCCTTAACAGCTGCAGGCCGTACTTTCGACCCAGCTTGACCAGGGTGGGGAAGTGCACCAGAAACTCGGGGCAGTCTACGACGCCCTCCAAGTGAAACTGGTACTTGGCGCCAAACAGGGGCAACGGATCTGTTTCGCAGTCAAACTCTATGCTGTACACATCGTTGCCGAAACGCCGGGCATCCGGTCCGGCTGCCTTTAGCCTCCGAACGATCTCGTAGGCATCGGGCATGGTGGCAATGAAAAAGCCACCCGGCTTCAGACACTCGGCTGCGTTTCGCATCATGCAATCCGCCTGCGCCATGGACTCAAAGCAATAGTGAAAGGCAAACTGGCAGGATACCAGATTCAGTTGCAGCGAAGGATCCTTATACCGCTCCCGCAGGCGCACCAACGTGGAATCGCAGGCAAAGAACTCAGCGGTAAACTTGTTGGCGAACTTGGACTTCTCAGCTCGCTGTAAAATGTCCTGATACCGCCGCTGGCATTGCTCCACGGACACCTCGGCGATATCCGTGCAGATGAGGTGGGAGATGTTTGACTTCTCCCACTTAAGGAGGTCACCGCCCTTGCCACAGCACATGTCCAGGACCCTTAAGGCGTCACCCATTCGCCTCTGATCCTTGATCTGCGACATGTACTCGTTGATCAGCTGGCTCTTAATCCAGTTGTTAAAGTTTCGCATGAAAAAGATCTTTGACTTTTCGCGATCCTTTCGTCCAGCCTCCTTTAGCTCGTTGTAGTGGTGAGCCACTACATGCGTGTTGGCTGCTCCCCCGGCTGACTCCGCTTCCTGCTCCTCCTGATCATCGCCATCACTTCCTTCGTTTTTCCCGCCCGGCTCCTCATAGAACTCCTGGCCTGGTTTACTGTTCACTGGTGGCCTCTGGCTTTGGGAGGACGTGGTTTCGACTGGTTCCTCGCCGTCCTCGTCGTCCGACAGACTGACTGCCTTGTGTGCCCGGGCGAATTGCTCATCTGCCGTATTTTGTTCGTAATTCACGCTCATAATTTTCCACCAAATTTTCCGTTTGACGACGACAGTGTGACCGCGTCAATGAGGATGATAAACACCGTTTGACCCCAAAAGACCATCAAATTATACCAATTTATTACAAAATTGACAAGCGACTTTTACTTTCCCTCTTAATGTCATAAGCTATTTATCGAATTAAAACTTAATTTAAAACATTGTTAAGTCTTGCCAGATATTTGGTAGGTTTTCAATTTTAAGCATATGGTGGAACCAGTTCATGTTCCAATTATATGCAATCAGCTGTTGACAACTCATGCGTTTGCGAAAGAAACTTTTAAATGCGGTTGCTTGGCACTTTGAATAAATTCTGTAAACTCTTGAATAACCCCCTTGCCCGGGATTTCCCCAAACGCAGCATGGCCTGCAGCAGATTTGAATATGTCAAGTCCTTCGAGCAGGACGACAGCATATTACCCAACGTTTGGATAGTCATTCGAATAGATGGCAAAAAGTTCCACAAGTTCTCCAAGGCGCATGATTTCGAAAAGCCAAACGATGAGAATGGTAACCAAGTTGTTTTATTTATTAATTTCAAGAATTTAATCTATAATTCTCTATCTTCAGCTCTTAATGTGATGAATGCTGCAGCCACGGCGGTGATGCAGGAGTTCCGAGATATTGTGTTGGCTTACGGACAGAGTGACGAGTACTCCTTCGTTTTTCGCAAGGAAACGGCTGCCTTTAAAAGGCGATCCGCGAAATTGCTTACCTATGTCACCAGTTTGTTTTCCACGAGCTATGTGATGCAGTGGTCCAAATGGATGAACCTGCCATTAGCTTATGCTCCATGTTTTGACGGTCGAGTGGTCCTTTATCCTTCGGAGCAGAATCTAAAAGATTATCTCAGCTGGCGACAGGCCGATGTGCATGTCAACAATCTGTACAACACCGCATTTTGGAAACTGGTTTTGGAGAAAGGTCTGACGAATCAGGAGGCGGAGGCAAAACTGCGTGGAACCTTTTCAGCGGACAAGAACGAGTTGCTTTTCCAGGAGTTTGGGATTAACTACAATAATTTGCCTGCCATGTACCGAAAAGGAACGATTCTACTTAGAAAGCGAGTTATCGTGGGTGATAAAGGACGACAGGCAGTAGTCCCGCTGCACGAGGATTTGATATCTTCGCAATTCTGGAAACAACACACGGAGATCTTGGGAAAATATGTGCCCGGCACTTACACTGCCCCAGACCCTCTGCCGAAATTGGTGGAAATGCAACTGAATACCAGAAAAGAAGACGAGGATGGAGAGGAGTCACAGAATCTGGCGGAGATTAGCTGATAGTTGAATCGATAGCAATATACTTTAAGATAAAAATTACTACAGAACTGTGGATTACTTCTGAATGGCAAACAGATGGATAGGCTGCAGTCTGCAGATGAGCTAAATAATCTGGCAAAGATTAGCTTACAGCAGACTGCTGAACTTATGGCAATATATTTTAATATTAAAACTACATTAAGCTCATAGAAAGACACACTTTTCTACTAGTAGTCGTCGTCGTCCTCGTCCTCGTCATCTTCACTGGGTTTGCTGGCCACGGAGCCATCAGCCAGCGGTTGTCGCTGGACCATGGCCGCCGCCTGCATACTCATCCATTGCTGCTGCTCCTCACGGGCCTGTTCTTCGCGTGCCTTGGCGAACAGCTCCTGCTGCTGTCGCAAAAGTTCCTCTTCGGGAATACCAAGGTTTTCCAGGCGCGTGCTCTGCCGTCTTCGCTTGGCAGCCACCTCTTTGCAGTCGTGAAGAACGGCCTCCGCTTCCTGTTTGTAGTCATGGAAGCCTAAACGATCAAGCGCCTCCAGAACGTGCTCCGCGTTGATTGTCTTCTTGTTGCGCATGTTGCACACATCATTGGCCTCCGAACTGATCAGATGTATAAACTCGGAGCAGCAGTTCAGGATCAGCTCGCGACTCTCGTTCGCCACACGCACAGTGGGCACCAGCTCCTTGATGATCTTGTTGATGCTGGCTCGCGGCAGGGTCAGTTCGTCGTCCTCAGCACTGGGTGGCAGTAGGTCCTCCTGCGGATTTGACATGGCGTCTTGGGCTGCGTGACTGTAAACAAAAATGGGAAGCAATTGTTTTCCTTGCGACTTCGATTTTGCATCCAGTATTAAAGTGACCGTTGTTTGCTAACAAGAAGATATCACATAACAGAAAAATTCAGTTTATAGTTTTACTTTGTGAGAGTGCCTATAAATTCAAAAAATTAAATCAGAATTTTTGTTTTAAGTTAATGTGCTTTTTAGAAATTAAATAATTTGATTTATTTCTTATTATTTCAATGTTATCCTTTGTTATTTTGAGCACTGCTGTGTTTTTGTAGTAGTAGTTTTTAGTATGTTTTTGGAACTGCTCAAGGATTATCTAGGCGGTATAGCAAAGGTAACTCTAAAACAAGGAAAACAAAAGAGGTTCTTAAATTTTTAGATAAATTCTGGAAAACTAAACATAAAATGGGTGACTACGATTCGGACGATGAGAAATCCCAAGTGGAGAAGCTGCGGTATGCGAAAGTTCCGCGTGGAATGTTTGTAAGCGGCTGGGACGACGATGCCGACGAACTGATTGAGGAGGATAAAAACCCACAATGTTAGTAGTTTGTCTTTTAAAGAAAATAGTCTATAAAATTCTTCTTTTAGCTAGCATTGAACGCATGATCCTGTGGGCGGTGAACGAAAACCGCATCAGCGAAGTGCGAGAGATCCTTCGCCTGGATGCAGACACCGTGAACTCAAAGGATAACGATGGATACACACCACTGCATAGAGCTGCCTACAATAATTTTGTCGACATGGCCAAGTTGCTGCTTCAATACCGAGCCGATCCCAATGCCCGCACTGAGCTGGGATGGACTCCCCTGCATTCCGCCTGCAAATGGAACAATGCGGATTGCGCCCATTTGCTACTTCAGTTTGGTGCCGACGTAAATGCGGAGTCGGAAGGCAAACAGACCCCACTCCACATAACTGCAACAGTTTCAAACTGCCGAAATACGGCCACCGTCCTGCTGCTGGATCGAAATATCATGCCGTGCAAAGAAAACAATTCCGAAGAGCTCGCCTCGGTGATCGCTCGGCGCACCGGAATGAGTTTTCCCATCTTTGAGTGCGGGGAAGAAGCCTACGATTGCGAAACGGGACTGATAGATTAACCACAGAACAGCAACGTAATGGGAATACCTATAGAATATTTAATATATATGTTTATATCATGAATCATCTTTTACATCGGGCTGGTTCCCGATTTAACTTGATGCAATTGGAAAATATCTTCTCAGCACTTCACACTTGTGTAGAAGTAGACAGTTATTTTCAGCTAGCTGGTGCCGGAGATCGTACAAAATGCTCGTAAAATGATTTCGTGTAGTTGATCATCTCATCCTGCATGGCGGCGGGCACAAAGTATGGATTTCCCTGGCCACCCTCGATGGTTCCCTTCGCTGTATATCGCATGTAGCTGGACACAGTTGTTTCCGGAGGCAGCACAGCTCCATCCTCAATCACGCAGCAATCTTTTAAAACGCAGCGACGGCCCTAAAAAAAATATAAAAGCTTTGATGATAAGTTTAAGCATGAAATTAAATTCAAGCTTACAATGATGGCATTCTTGCCGATGTAAACACAGGATCCTACTGTAGCCGCCGAAACGACGGCTCCCTCGCCTACAAAAACATGATCGCCGATGTGCATGGGGAAAAATGCGATTCCTTTGCTGAATTGTTTGTAGGGTGGCCTGATGACGGAATCTTTTCCAATCACACAGTACCTTCCCGTTCGAACATTGGCCAAATCTCCACGGATTATGGCGCCACTCTGCACGATTACCTTGCCATTGAGCACGATGTTTTGAGATCCACAAAGCACTGTATGCCGACTGACTTTATTTCCGGAGGCCTGCGAAAACAAAATGTTTACGGGCATGAGATGAGGTCATCCGTAGAAAAGTGAAAGCCTGCTTTGGTTTCACTGCGAATACTTACCGTTTCTACGTATTCATCTTTACTGTAAAAGGTATCCGGAATTTCCATGATGAAACAAAAGCGATATTAACAAGTTTTTTAATAATATAAAAATTGCAGATTGCTTGTTTTGGCAGCTGATTAGTGTTACCTGTGGATACTTTATGAGAAATACTGAAATCCCAGCATAATGCATTTAGCTTTGCCTTGAACCTTTCGATTAACAAGGCAATCGTCTTTTCGATAGGCAACTGGCCGCCAAATTTAAATTCATATTATCTTTATGATTGAACATCCATCTCTCCACCCGTATGACCGTCCTTCCGCATATTTATGTGATCATGCGTCCATCCCTTTATCCGATCATCAGTCCAGAAGATTGAATGATTGATAACAATTGATAATACTGCTAGAGGAATGGACGACTGAACGTATGGGATGGACGGATGAAACGATGGATGAATGGAAGGAATGGATGGAAGGAATGGATGGAAGGAATGGATGGAAGGATAATCGATTGAGCGGACGGATGGATGAACGGTTGGACGGACAGACGGACGGACGGACATTAAATTAAGTAGTCGCAGGCCAGGTCTTTAAAATTACAATATGCTTCGCGGGTGCTTGAAAAACGCAGGTGTTTAACCCATGATGACCATGAACTTTTAGCTTATACGTAAATGCAGCAATCACGATGCAGATTAGACAGCTGCTCTTCACAGATTTAAATCTACTGGCAGAACGAAAATGTAAGTAATTGGGCTCGCAGCTGGTGGGCAGAAACGCAGCCAATCTAAACCTCCCTCCCATCGACGCAGTGACCTTCCGAAGCTTTAAACTTCCCGCTGTCCGACGCTTCAACGATGTTCCAATTAATGCTCTTTAATAATCGCAACCCAGCCCCGTGGTTAACCTTCATGTGGCACGCTCGAATGCCCTCACGAGGCGGCGGCAACTCTGGCTAATCATGGTAGCATTTTAATTTGTTTATGTTTGCCTTTTCGTGTCCGCAGTTTCTTGGTTTGGTTCTCCGCCTTTTGCAGATATACATACATATATGGTGTTCCATTATTATGGTTTGTCCATTTAGGATTTCATTATGCTTGCAGAATTTAAATGAAATTAAATCAGGAATGGTGTTTTTACATTTTTAAGAAGTACAATTTCTCCACCTGACCTTCTACGCGTGAACTACCTGAACTTTGCCATTATCGCTTCTCTATGCCAATTAATTGCAAACAATTGTGCCAGTCTATTGGCGCTTTGAAGAATCCGCCAAAAGCAAAGAACAGAAATCGTTTAACCTTCAGTGTGAAAAACCGCATAGAAATCTATTAATCTGTTGGTATTTGCACTTTTGAACTTAAGGTTAATAAACTTGAACTTGAATAATGTTTGAAAATTAATTGAGTTGTGAACACAAACAACTCAAAAACAAATCAAACAAATGATTCAAATTTGTTTCATTTTGATTCTTTAAATTGTGTCTATTGTTGAAAGACTGATTTTAAGCAAGGCGCGTTAGAGAGGCAAAAGTTATTAATTAAGTTGTTTGATTAAATATGTGATTGCAATTTTAAATCGTTTGTGTTTGGAGGATACTTTTTAGATTTTTATTGCAAGTGTTAATTTTAATAAATATTTTTTAAGGTTTTAATAAAGCTTACCATTCTGAATCTTATAAAATAATTGAACAGCACGCTATTTTAAATCCTTGAAATGTTTTCTTGTTTGTTCAACTTTTGTAACTTTCTCTACCATCAATTAGAAGTCCGAGGCCATAAAGGTCTTGAATTCATAGAACGTGTAGTCAAGTGTTTGCCTTACACTAATCCAACAACGCTCGAAGAAACTCTTCTGCCACAATTTGACCTTGTGGAGTTATGAAGGAGGGGACGGGGCCGCGAACTATGTAAATATTTACAATAGCCAACTCATCCGCGACCTTGATAATTGGTTATTGTTGTATGAAGTGGCTGTTGTTGGAAATTCATTATTAAATGCCCAGCTAATCAAGATCAAGAAGCACGCACTTCGAATATCCGCCTCTGCCCTTCCCACCGGCCAAAAACAAAAAACAAAAAAAAAAAATAAAATACAATCGCTCACGATCGGATTGATCTTGATGCTTTTATGGCTTTAGACTGTTTTAATTGCTTTCTGCGAGAGAAAACCGGCGGCACTGGATCACATAATTAATAAATGGAAATTAAGCTAAAACTGAAACAATGCCAGTGCTATCCAGTTCGAGTCCGAGTTAAAGTCATGTCATTTTTAATTGCATAATTGCAAATAGTTTACATGTATGCGATATGGCCAAGAACAGCAGAGTTATAATAATGCAACAATGAAGGAGAAACGACAAATGGAATTAATTGCAATTAGCAAAATTGTGAAAATATTTATTGAATTTATTGCGAACAAGGTGAGGTGGAGAGAAAGAGGGAGACAGAGAATGTTGCATAATATTTTCACTTTTTGCATGGAGGCCTCCAGTTGACCGACAAAAAAAAACTCAACAGTCATCGGCGGCAAGTGAAACAAGTTTTTTGTTCAAGTCTTTTGTTTCAATCGATAAAATGTATCTGCAATTGACAATTCGTAGATGAATGCCTATGTCTGTGTGTTCACTGTACATGTGTAGTTACATATGTATGCGCCGATGTTCGGATTGACAGAACAAAGGTGACTATCAGATTCTCGGAATGTGTGCACTATAGGAATTATTCAAGGATTTTTTCAGTATGCCACTTTTTGTCCATAAAAGGCCACCCAAGTATAAGGCCAATTGAAAATTGATAAGCCGAGACTTTAACAATTTATTTATATTTTCTATGGTTTTTTTTCTCTTATTAATGTTGGTGTATTCAATTTATTGTTTGGAATTTAATGGTCAGACTTTAGAACTATTAACATGATGCATTTTCCCACTTCAAGTTCTACCTCTCCCACAGCTAAAAACTTTTCGGGTTTAACTAATTACAGTCATTACAATACTATATGGCGACCAAATGGCTTCCTCATGTCAAGATCCAACGCGAAACGAGTAGCCCGCGATTAGCTATGAAGTTGGAGCGACTCGCGCAACGAGAGCTCAGTTCAAAAGCCGAGTTCAAGAACTAACTAACGATTGTCTGACAATGACAGTAGCTGAACGATTATGAGGGGGGTGTTCAATGTTCGTGGCGGTTTTCTTAACATTGCCGGAGTTGGCAATGTTTGAGCAAAGCGCCGCCAAACAAATAGCAAACAAACTAAAATTGTGTGAATCAAGTAAATGAATGCGCTTTGAATGTAGCGAAAATGTATAATACAAATTATACATATATTCATTTCCCCCACCCACAATACCCCTTTGGATATGGTTGGATGGGCGTGGCATGCTGCATTTTGTTGTTGTGCCCCCAAAGCGACCTCATAATGCCCAAGTTGTGCTAATTAAAACATTAACTCTGCCCCGAGGCTGAATTCGCATTAAATAACCATTGTCCGAGTTTTTGTTTGCTTTTTTTTTTGCTTTGCCAAAATCGATCAAAATCAAATTTCAAGTGGCCCCCGTTTGGTACATGAAAAAATCAAAACCAGTAGAGAGTTAACTGTCAAAAAAGCAACGCACGACAACGGCAGTAACAACGCTGCTGACAACAGAAACTACAGTGCGGTACAAAGGCGTAAATCACATTGCTGAGCTAATGGAACTTGACCATACATTAAAGAGGGTTCCAAAAAGCATAGGATTTGCCAGGCTTAAGAAGGTCTTTAAAAGCGATTGTATAACTTAAACGATTAAATTACTTAATGAACTAAAAATACCTTTTTCATATTGATTTTACTTCATAATCTATATATACATATATTATCTGTAAACTATACGTTTCGTGCTGTACTTCGCAAAAAGCTTATTTGTTTTACGCTATTGCACTGTTCCAATTTTGATTGCTCTATTGGTCTTCGCTTATTTTTTTTTTTTTGCATGCGGGCGCTAATAGTTTTGAACCTGACGAGAGACCCAAAAAATAAGCCAAAATCAATTTTCAAATTTGTATGCCATGGGCAAGGCTAACCTCGAGACACGAGCTGCGGTCTCGTATTTGGATCGGGCTGGATTTTGGGCATTAAACGTATATAATTTAATTCAATTTGGTTTCTGTTATGACTTGGCTTGTTTCCACTTCCTTTTTGCCTTTCAGCAGTTTTGATAAAATATGATAGCCGATCGGTATCGGTTTATAAGCCCTCCAACCTACTTAGCAGAAAAACAGGTGATTAAGTCTCTTGTGTCTGTCAGTTGATTGAACTTTAAAGGTTTTCCAACGGACTCTCAAAGACTCAGTGTCAAATTCGCTCGGTTGCTCGCTGGGTGGCCACTGTTCCGGTGGCTGATTGACAATGATTGACAATAAAACTCCAGTTCGTCACAACACCCATGCCAACATACTATATATTTCCATAGCATTTCATATTGGAAGACTGGCTTGGCTTATTATTATACCCAAGGCTTTCGGACGAAGTGTGCCTCGGAAGTTGTTAGTGGGTGGAAGTAATTAAATTCGATTTTAGCCATTCGATAACAAAGAGTGTGGCGGTCAGTGGGTGCTATGTAATTACTTTATTGGGGTTCTGTGAACTAGTAGCAAGGGCAGGCTCAAATCGCAACGAGGTCAATTAAAATGGGAAAAAAGAAACGTTCAAAAATAGTGTTTGATGCTTCAGAAGTGATTAAAATCTAGAAAAGTCAAAAGAAAAAATATATATTGGATATCGAAAACTGTATAATTTTTTTTTGTTATTTATATTTTCTTCATTACAAATTAAAAACGAAAATATCAAAGTTGTTTTTTTTTTTTATAATAATAAGTACTTTTTTACTATACTTATGTGTATTTCCCATTGCATTATTATCCCATCAATTATCTTTAAACAATTACTACAACTAAAAGTAAAAAATATTAAACAAGGAAAAGCTTGAAAACAAACTTGATTAATACAACAAACACTAGCATTTTGCAGCTCTATCAAGGCCATTGAAGTGGCGACTTAACACCTTTTAAGTGCCCCTTTCCATCAACTGCCACAATTAGCCTCCAGAACCACCCAAGTTGTGTGTGCCGCCTGTCACATCATCAACGCGCTCGTCAAAAAACCACGCTGCCGCCGAAAAAAAATATATTAAAAATTAATTAAACAAAAAGCCGAGACTGATGTAAAAAACAGTATAAAACACATTTGGCGCTTGCACTTGACCTTCCTCATTGCGAGCGGTCAGACCAAAAACAAAAAAAAAAAGGAATTCGGGGCTGGCAGGCGTATGCAAGCCGCGTAATTTGTTAGCCACTGTTTCTGCTGGAATTTCTGATTTTGAACTTCACGAGTTTAATTTGTGCGTAACGTTTTTTTTTTGCTTGTTTATAGTTTGTCGGGTTAAAATCAAGGCGAGTGAATCGACTGAATTCAATTTCAGTGACTGCCCGGCTTACATGGCGTATGCGCAACTCGATTAATTTATTACTTTGCGTTTGCATGAGTGCGTATGTAATTGTAATTGACATTCAAGTTGATTACTTCCTTATTTGGTTTTAAGTATATTTTTTATGACGCATAGTAAATCTACATGAGAAAACCTTTTGGTGCGTAAACTTTTATTTTCTCACGATGTATTTTGAGATATATTGCACTAAATTAATTTTTCGGTAATCTTGTGATGATATCATTTTATGATTAAAATAAAATAATTCTAAAAATAAATCAGTCCTTTATCAGATACACGTAGACTCTCACAGTTCATATTTAACTTATTTTAAGCCACAATATAATAATCATAGCTTATTCATTGTCTCATAAATCTTGTGAATAATTATAAAAAGTAATCCGCTTATTTGCCATAGCGAGCATTATGCCTTCCATTATAATCATACTACAATTACCATTCCATCGGCAGACAACAATCTCCCATCGCATCACATTTAATGCACTCTCATCGCCCTGAACAGCGAAATAAACCGACCTTGAACTTGAGGCGATTGCAAAGTACGAGAGCATCAGCACTCGTCGGCAAATCGCTTTATTTCCATTATAATTTTCCATTACACTGCCCTTTCCCTTTTTGGGGTCTGAACCGCTGGCGTTTCTGCCGCTGACAGCTGGCAGTTGAGTTATGAATGCTTTTAGTGGAGGTTCGCAGAAACTGAGTCAGTCGAGCAAGCTCCAAAAATGGCCACAAAAAAAACAAAATCAAACCGAAAGTGACCGCCGCGTGGTTTGCATTCCTGATATGGGGCACGTACTTTATCCGTAGTTTTTAGACTGTTTCGTCAGTTGTTCTTTTTCGAGCCAGGGACCAACGACCGTCCTCGATTAGCTCTAGGCATTCCAACTCCAACTTCGCGACACATCCGTATTTTTTTGGTTTTGTTAATGTCGCTTTGGGTGAGCAAATAAATTTATAAACGGTAGCTGCTTTTTTGCGTAGCTCAGGAGTCCCCTTCCCTTGTCGAGTGATTAATTTTAATTTTGTTTCGCTTTTATTGCTGCATTATTTGTATTAACTGCTTGCAATCAACAAATCAGCGCGAACAAGAATTTCCGCTGTACGAAAAAGGGCATTTAATGTTTTCCATTCCCAAGTAACTGAGTCGTTGACCGCTTTGATCTGACCTTGCTTGGCGAATTTTCGTTAATTTAACTTTGTGGTTAACCACTGGTTCGGGATGCTGTTGGGTATGTTTTTCAGATTTTTCTGGTTTTTATCGCCCATCAAGGTGATAGGTTTGCATATAAATGCCGCTAGAACAAAAGACTTTGGCGACGAACTTGACGTGTGTCCGATTTTATTGTGAGAACAGTTAAAAGAGGTGGTTCGCCTTAAAATATTTGTTTTGATAGGTATGAATCACTGGAGTGCGAAGCGGAAGTTGATTCGATTTAAAGTGATTAGCAAGCGGGAATTCTGTACGAAATTCCTTACCTAATGGTCATATTTAAACTATTTTATAATTTTATAATATTTACAACAAATTTCGTCTGCTTTATAGTTTAAAATCTTGTTCTATAATTTATTCCAATAAAAGAATTTAATAGCCATCTAAGTACTTTCTGTGATTTCTAAGTACTTGTTTGCCAGAGTTCTTTGTTTCATTTATTACCGATTTTACAACAATATTTGCTTTTTTGTATGTGTTTTTTACGGCTAATTTAGCACATCATAAAAAATTCTCTACCATCGACTGCGAAACTTAGCATAGTGCATCAGAGAAGTGGGTTTCGTGTTGACCAGCCAAATTTGCAACTGTCAAGATCCACGAGATGAGATCGACTGAATGGATGGACTGGGCACAAACAGAGATCACGGAGGCTAACTTGGTGATTTAAGTGGCGTTGGTGCGTGGTACGGTAGTCGCTAGTAAAACTTCAATTAGCAAATTAAATTTTAATTACCAGACGGGTCTCGATGCTAATTCAATTAGTAGTATCAACAGATTGTCAGGTGCAACAAATAAAATAAAAATTAAAAGTGCTGTGGGGGTTCGTTAAGTGGAATGCTGCAGGCTTTAGAACTTGAGTTCTTAATTTAGTTTTACTGGTTGTATTAGTTGTTTACATTAATTATTGTTTATACAATTATTATTGGGAATTTAAAAATTGTTTAAATCAATAATAATTAACTTTTTTTTTTTCATATTTTTATACATTTTCCATAGTGATCAAATGTTTTATATGCACATGTTGAAAAATCAAAAACAATTAAATTATGTGGATAATCTCTTCAGGACCTCTCCCAAATACTAATATTATTTTAAGTACACCTGTGTGTATTTTAACATTTTCACGTGACAGGTGCTAAGCTGTTCTCAACCGGCTGATTAAAGTTTATAATTTGTTTTGCGCGATTGTTAATATAGTGTGAGGCCAAGCCCAAGATGAACCAGTTTGCCGTTCGAAAGTGTGGCAGCCTAGAGTCGGACAAGGTCCCTGATCAGGAATAGCCCTGGGCATATAGCCCAAGTTCCCTGTCTGGTTTTTGTTTGCTGATTTTCTTATTTTCTGACTTTTCGACTTGACTGCTTCATAAATTCACACTCACTTAGTCTGTAATTATCGATCGTTGAAAAAGCTCCACTTATTTTGGAGCTTTCGCTCTTCGTGGCGCTCTTGCCTGGGGTTTTGTCGTGCGCTCACTGCTCTCCAACGCTCAGTTGATCGTCAGCCAACTCTCGAAACGGACGCCTATTTGTAAGTCGCCGCCGCGCATGCGCTTTTTAATCAGTGGCAACAACAACGGACGGCAGCGAAGACGAAATCGAATTGTGTTTTTATTTGTTTGCTTTTGTTTTGTGTGTTATGCCAAGCACAAAACCAAAACCCCATGCTCGTAAAAGTGGAGAAAAATCAAAAACCGAAAATTCAAACCGAAATAAGTTTGCCAAAACAAAAAGAAACCGCAAAAGCCGCGTTATAATAACAAAAATAACGGTATCAAGTTTGAAGCTCATCTAGTTATTTGTATTTATGCTTTGCTTCTCATGGTTTTTCGCATAAATAATAATAAAGTATAAAACCAACTAAAAAGTGTTGAAAACCCCGCCAATTAAAGCCAGCTAATTTTGCCATAAACGTAAAAAGTAAATCAACTTGGTTGTTATAAAATGTTGCAATTTTATTTTTGTACATCAAAAGTGCGAAATATTCAGTGCATTAAACCTTTCAAACAAATAAAATAAAGAAGTTTATATATGTACAACGTTTAAAAAAAATATTGCCGAATCAAAACCAATAGCAAGACCTATATTTTAGACAAGAAAGGAATGCTTTTTGGGGTTTCAAAACCTAAAAATAAAAGTATAAACTTGATTTTTTTTTCGTGTAAAATGACCAATAATCAATTATTATTTTCTAAAATCTAACAAAACAAAAATAGAGTGAATAATAAGAATATAATTAATTAATTTTCTTAGCCAACCAAAAGTGTCAGAAATCAAACAAAATGGTTGCCATAACTTATACCCGAAATCTAAAAATAAAAATTTATGAAGCACAAAAAGAACTTTGAATCTTCTTAAAAAAACCGCTATTGCAGGAGGGTGAAAGAGTGAGGGAGCAAGTGTGGATAGGGAGCGGGAAAATCGTGCTGGTAATTTCTCCCGCTTTATGTTTTACCTTTTGCCCTTTCGGTTGTTTTCGGATTTGTATGACGTGTGTGCATCAGGTTGATTTTTGTGATGCGTTTTGACTCTGTAATTTTCATGACGGGCAGCTGAGATTACTTCATCTGCCGTTTCATTTCCTATATGGCCAGATGATTCAACATCAAACTGACCAGCGCAAAAATAAAAACACAAACTACAGCTGAAAAACGAAAAAAAAAAAAAATTGCACGAAAAAGCCGGTTGAAGGCAACTCTTACATATTTACACGCACCAGCGCTCATTGAACACACGCCGCCAGCAGCAACAAAAGCAAGAGCGCACACATAAAAAAATATAAATAGGAAGATATTAAAATTGAAATTATATTGTTTTGACTTATTAGTGAATATGGGCTTTTATTTTTTTTTAGAATGTTTCCTATTAATATAAATGTTGACCTAAAACAATAATTATAATATCCTAAACTTATTTCTTTTTGTGCATTACAACCACACCAATGAAAGCAAAAGCAACAAGGCGACACAGAAACCTGTTGTTGTAGCTCTTGGTGGGGCTCTTGCTGTCTCTTTCTCGTCAAAAGACATTTGCAGAGACTTCGCCTGCGTGTTGATTATGTCAATTTCATGTTTGCTTCATTTCCTCAACACACCGGGCCGGACAAGAGCGAGAGAGATATTGAGCGGAAAGGGGAGCGGCAGCAATTTCACTTTCGTTGGACTTGAAAATAAAAGCTGCAGTTATCCGAAGAGAGTGGGGGAGGGAATGTGGGAAAACGAGAAGCTGGAAAGAGAGTAAGAGAGAGTGAGAGCACGCACAGCAACTGGGCTGCATTACGGTGCTTGGATGCTGATGCTGCGTCACTTGCTTTGTGGGCATTGCTGGACAGTGGGAACATTGAAATGTCTTTTATTACTACCAAATCTAGATTGAAAAATTTGTTTTAGTTATGATCTTATTGAACAAAAAAGGTTCTATTTTTTCAAAGCTAAAAGTAGCGGTAATTTGTTAAGAATGAATTTAAAATGGCTAACGTGTCGGATGAATAATCTTCAAATTACTTATACGACATGTTAACCTATCTAGGTATTATTTTTTTTATTTAAATTAGATGCCCAAAAAAGATTTTATTGGGAATCTCCTAAAAACACCTCTACCAAAATATTGTTTCACCGTGCGGCGGCGTCGTTTGGGTGCAGCTTGGTCGCATATTTTCCGTTTTGTTTTGTAACTGTAATGTCTGTTTTTCCCATTGTCCGATTGTTGTTCGGTGTCGCTCTGCCATTGTTTTTTGCCGCTTTTGTTTTGCGCTTATAACGTAATAACGTAATGTGTCCGAAGATTTCCACATGCAATGCGTCGCGCTTTACGTTTTGGTGCCAAGTCCAGCGTCGACGTCGACATTAATTGTTTTTGCGGCCAATTGAGCTAATAAACCGACGCGAATCATAGCGCCTTACAAATTCCTGTCCGAAAAATATGCGAAGGTCAACCAGCAGCAGAAACAGCAACATATAATAAAGAGACCGAGAACTCCCTCAAATCGATATTCATATATAGTATTCGCACCTTTTCCATACGCTGGCTTAGTTTTTATGGGCTGTCAGCTTGGCGAAAAATTCTAATTATAAATGAAACAATTTATTACCGGGTTTTAAAAAATAAAATGCAATTTATGTGCAAAGTCTGGCGGCGGCGGACTTGACTAGTTAAACCGGTTGACTGCCAACAGCAGCAGCGCAAGCAAAAACAAAAACCGTAGAATCAATGGGGGTGCTAACGGCCAGTCAGCAACAGTAAAATGCATTTGCTAAGAAAAACATTTTTTTTCGTTTGAAAATTGGTTCAAACATTTTTAGGAGTTTAAGAAAATAAAAACAATACAAAATCGCGAAAATTAAAAAACAAAAGGTGAAGTGCTTAAAAAAAAAACATAGCTAAATTGACTGACAAAAAAAAAATTAATTTACAAAAAAAAATTTATATTCAAAACGAATGATAAAAATTAAAATGCAAAATAACAAAACTCGTTTGAAAACATCAAAAATCAAAAATATATAAATCAATCAAATCAAACCGTTTAAAAACAAATTATAAAATAAGTGTTCACAGCTGTGAAAACAAGAATATTTTTCTACTAAATTATTCAGCAAGCCTAATCGATGTTTTTGCAAAATTTGTGTCTGGGTTCATTATTTAATTCATTAATCATAAATGCAAATTTGTTTGATTGTTTAGATTTGGCTTAACAGCTAACTCAAAGCTATAAATTGGACATCAAAATTGGATTATAAAAAAAAAAAAACAACAAAAGTGAACACAAAAAGTTAATAACAATTATTTTGTATGCCGGTTTCTTCTTGACAAGTTTGGTAAGTGAACTTTAAAACTTGATGAATGAGAATGAATGTTAAAATGAATGTTAGATGATTTGTTGCCGCAATAAACGCCAGCTAATGAAGAAATAATGGTTTAACAAACGAATTTAAAAATAGGAACAATAAAATCATTGCGGAACTTGCCAACTCCATAGCCTTAAGCGATCGAGTATAATTCTTTTTTTTATTCCTTGTTCCCACAAAGCCTCCGGCTTCTTAACTTTCACAAGTCAGAACTCGTGCTGAGTGGGAAAACCCCGCTGAAGTAATCTGAGGGTAGTGGAATCATACATCCGTGTGGCCGTTCACGTTGCGTATGCGCAATTTTCATGCTCCTTAAACAAAGAGGTATAAAGAGCATACAAATAAATTCCTAAGCACATTAATTTATTTTAACTTTTATTTAAGCAAGTAACTTCAATTTTTTTTTAAATTTACTTTTTTAAACAAACAAAACGCAAAATTTTAAATGAAAGCTTCTTAATAAATATTTACGGATGTGCTTCAGCCATTAGGTCATTAGCATATCTGTTTCATAGGGTATTCACAAAATAGTTATGATCACGTTGCCATTGTGTTAAAGTCATTCAATTTTATCGACACTTAATTATAACTTTTGCCTACGTCATTGCCTCAGAAGCAGAAGTCGGCAGTCGGAGCTGATGATGGTTTCTCCCCGGTTTCAGTTGCTGTTTCGGTTTCTTAATTGCTCAAGCCCCCCACATGGCATCTTAAGATTTCGACGTAGCGTTTTATTGTTAATTTGTTTGTCTTTGGATCCGGTTCTAGGTCTCGTTTCTGGTTTGTTGAATTTTTTCAAGCTTCAAACAAAGTTTTGTAGAGCGGCCAAATTAAATTCCTTTGTTTCAGACTCTAGAAGAACATAATTCCATACGTTGTGTAGATTACTGAGCAATTTTGACTTTTACATTTCCGGGTAGTTATGTACGTATGTATGATCGATATTTAATGCACTTTAAAATAAATTTGCATATTGTTTCTGTTTACCAAACTAATTTTTCATTGAGCTGCCTGTCACTTGAAGCTAAAGTATCCGCTACCTAAAAGCTTAGTCACGAATTGCAGATACACGTTATCTGCAAGATGCGATGAGATCAGTTGTGCCGAGTTTCGCATGAATTTTGCAATGCAAATCTTTTTAATTGAGTGCTCTTGCAAAATATCCACGCAGATATATCAATCAAATTAATTTCGCCGTTTTTTTGCAGCCATATTATTTACATGTGTTGTCTTATTTTTTTATTTAAATTTTTTTGTAGATCCCAAACCCCGACATCAGCAACAGCGACCAGCATGAAAGGCTGGTTCGACGCGTTTCGAGACGATGGGGGACCAACGCTGTATTCCTTCTCAAATCGAACACCCGTCACCGGAGATGTGTCCATAGTGGCCGTCTCTGTACTATTTGCCACATTCTATGTTGCATTTTTAGTCATATTTCCGGGTGTAAGAAAACAAGTATGTAAATTACTATTCATGTTTTAAAATTAAAATTTATGATTAAGGTAAATTTTAAGTTATTTCGTTTGATTTTATTTTTAACAATATATTTTATTTATTAAAATTATTATAAAAGTTAAAATATTTAACCTTTCACTTACATTCCCCGACCATTGTTTTAGAAACATCTTTTTAAAATTCATAAAGTTATTAAAATGTTATTACTCAACTTTCATCGGTTCTATATTTCTAAGCCAGTTCTAGCTTGGTTTGATTTAAGATATTAGCCATAAATGTCAAGACAGCCCGTTAGTTCAATTAAGTAAATAAATATTTAACTATATGCAAAAGGTATTGGGCATTTATTACCATGTTATATAATAGACGACTAGTCCGACTGAATTCAGTTTTCTCACGCTGTTGCCGGCTGGTCTGTTTAATTGAATTGTGCCAACCGCTTGGCATCGTCGTAATCGTCGGCACGTTTCCAACAGAAGTCAGATAAATCTAAGCAATGTACATATAAACCTCTAATGAGAGTCCCATAAGCAAACCCGTTTTCAATAGGCGCGCCCTTTTTCTGACTATCTGGTCTCCATCGACTGGTTGGTTGGTTGGCTTTATTAGAGCATGGCAGACATTAAATGTAATTGTCTTGCCATTTATTTGATTTTAATTTATTTTAAATATCTTCTCATTCACAGAAATTCACAACGTTTTCGACAGTCACACTGAGCCTTTTTGTGGGTCTAGTCATACTAAGTGAGTAAAGTGACCTTCAATTAGCACAATATTATATTTGATTTGCATCTACCAACAATGCTCAACCTGGGAATCGTTTCACGTCTTTATCCAACAGTCACCCGCTTGGGATCCGCGTGGCATGTGGCACATGCAACCATCATCGCGCCGTACAAAGCCTTCTCACGCGAGAAGCTCCCAGCGCGCATCGGCACCCACATTGGCCTCATGCATGTCAATGTTACGCTGACGGGTAAGTTTGCCAATCCAATCCAATCCAACCCGATCCAATCCGCCAACAAGTAGGTACTTCTGCCATGGGTGAATGGGTTGTCATATTTGATTATATCGGCGGCACCGATGCGGTGCTCGTGAGTTAGATGAGGATTTTTCGTTTGAAATGAAGCTAGTTTCGAATTATTTATAAGAATTTTCAAGCGGTTACATACAGAACCTAAGATATTTTGTGAAAAAAATATATGAATGGATTTATTATTATATATATAAAAAGTTGCATTTATAATATTTATATTATACATCCAACAAATTGTGTCCACCCTTTCTCCAAATCGTTGATTGTATAAGTTTTGAAATGTTTTTTCTACGTTTATGGGTGTCCAACTGAGTTTATATTCGTTAAGCAAAATAATACCCACTTGTACACAGTTTTGTGTGTTGATTTTTGAGTTTTTTGAGTCAGTGTCGAGCACGCCCCCGTTTTTTAAGGCGATTCCCGACAAGAGATAAACCACGAACGTTAACAATAACAATAGAGCAATTTTCATTAAAAAAAATTGCTGCATGTACTAATTCAAATAAAAATTGCTTCTTGTTTTAGAAGCAGTTGCAGTTTAGGGACAACCTGAGTGGCTAATTGATTTCAAAACTCGAGGAAGATCTTTTTACGATAATTTTCGGTGCCGTTCGACTTTTTGTTTGACTACAAAAACGCAGTGTGGGCGGTGACGTCAGCTGCGGTTGTTGCTGCCGCTTTGTTTGTTGGCTCCTGCCAAGTGCCAAGTCAAGTTGCATGTCACGATTCTTGGCAACAATAGCGGGCAACAGCAGCAACAACAAATTGAAATGCCACTCGACTCGCGCTCAGCTCGACACCTGCGGAAATATTCGATTCCAATAGCAAACGCTCGACGACTACGACGACGACGAGGAGGAGGCCTCTGTACACACATACGATATATCTATCCAAACATATATTCGCCGGCTCGTTTGATTGTTTGCCCGTTTCACTCACTCGCTCACTTGGCTCATCGAAAAGGTGAAATGCTTTTGTGTTTGAGCCTAGGCTACCTTAGACCCCAGCTGAATCAATTGGAATGCCAGTTTGAAGTCAACTCGAGCACGAATAATCCGAGCCATCCAATCCTATCAAATCCTAACCCTCTGCCTCCACTTACCGCCAATCCGGTCACAATCATGTGTGCGCAAAAGCGGTGAAGCCGTTGCTATTGTTTGGCCCAGTAGCAATAATTTTTTGTTTGCAATATTGGGAGATTCAACTTTACGATGCCCTTCGAGTCCAACCAATTTCTGCATCGAAATCTAAATATTTTGAGTGCAAATGGGCTGAGGCTTCGACTGCAAAGTAATTGGTTTTATAAAATATTTACTAGTTCTTATAATGCCTTCGATATTGAGGCTCTTACGTGTATGGTTTAAATATATTTGCTGATTTTTAATAACATTTTTAATGAAAACTGAAACTGAACTTAAAGTTGCCCTATTTGATTGCACGAGTCAAACTTCAATATTGATAAAAATTGTTGTCTCATTCAAATGTTGGCTCTTAGTATTTTGTGAACACAAATCCCTTTGGAAAAATATTCTTATAAAGATCTAGCTCAAAGCAATAATTTCCTACTATTCGAGGTGTCATATTTATAAATATTATATTTATTTTTATATTATGTCTATATTATTGGTCTTAAACTTGTTTTAAATGTACCTAAACTTAGAATTAATTTAAGGAGTTTAAGAGACAGGAGTTTTTCCAAGTGTAAAACACACTAAGAGTTGTGTACAGATACTCTTGGAAGTACACATATAGGTTTGCATTAATATATATTTGCCCTGCTGCCTCTTCAACTGTTGGCTGAGGGCATTATGTCGGTTGCCATATTGGTTTTGACTAATACAGATTTTGTGGAGTGCCTACCCCTTTTCCCCTTCTCCGTGAGAGTGGTATTTCGGTAGCATTTTCCCAGCTCCTTCTAACCTAACCCCTCGATTTTCCATTGAATGACGTTTGCCAAAAGTGTTTCACGTGTTTTTCATTCCCAATTGTTGCTGGTTGGATTTGGTGGGCGTTCGTTCGAGTTTCATGGTAAAAGGGCAAATGTTGCCTCAAGTTGACAGCTGCTGCTCTACGAGTATTTCTTGCTTGGCATACGCTTTTTTTCCTGGTATAAGTTTCGATTTTGAATATGATAATTGCGCATGTCAATTGGTGAGTGGTAGTTGGATACACGGCTTAGTCTGGCCTGACAACTTAATTGTTGCACTCGTTATGAGTATGGTTTAAAGTTACTTTTTGATGCGGTTTTTCAATTGGAATTCAAGCATTTTCCATTGCCAAATCAAAGTCAGGCAAATGTCAAATTCGGGTGTTGAAAATTTGAGTGCCAGTGGTTTATTCAGATGCCCATATCGTTGTGTTATTTAACGATTGGAAATTGTGTTATTTAACGATTGGAAATAACACAATGATGATGATCATTTTATAATGATGATTACTTATTTTTATTAAGCCTTCTTTTTGTTATGCCATGCGCTCTTTACTTTGTACTTTTTGGGCCAATCTGCGGTGACTTTTGTGCACTTAATTACATATCATTATGACTTTTATGCACTTCCATTTGTGTTGCATTTTTTTTTTTTTCGTTGCGGTCTGGCATTTATTCGACTGTTGAATGGTTTGAAGTATATTTAGAGATAAATGTGTGTACTGCCATCATTTGTGTCAATTGTGGGTGTGTGCTGTAAGCTCAATTAACTGCGGCGTTTAGCCAACTCGTTTGCGGGCTTAGATATCAATTGAAGTGGAGGGAATTAAGGGTACCAGGTGTTATAGGTAATTATGATTGGCATTGTTAGCTGTGGCTTCATTTGAAACCGTTCTCAGTCTTTTGTACGCTGTGGGTGAGTACATAATAATAGATTTTGAGTATTAAACATTATATGATATATAAACTATTGTGTATTTCGAACACAACAAAAATCCCACGCAACCGCTCTCTACAATTATTATACATATGTGACTGACCCTTTAATGTCACTCCCAAGACAAGCTCTAATTCCTCTAATTTAGATATCTGCGACACAATTCTATTTTTAATAGAATTAATGCTTTTGTGAACTGCTTCTCCATATTGGTTTCAAATATTACATATTATTTCTTAATGGAGATGGACATGAGCTGCTCGCTCTAGCGTTGTGCTTTGAACAACTGACAGAATTGGAACATTCATTTATTTCTGCAGACACATGGCTGTGGTTGATGGGGTTGAGGAGCCAACAATTTAGAAAAAAAAGCGGTTCAGCTCATTCATTGTCTCTATGCGGTGTTTTCGTGTGTCGTGTGCCTTTGTCTATTGTAAAGTCATGATTAATTTAGGTTTTTTCTTGCTGCTGCTGCTGCTGGCGACGCTACTGCTTCCAAATTGTTTTTGGCTCCATCAACGCCGCACTTCTCTCGTCGCTCTGTGCAAAGTCAACACGAAAATCAGCATAATCATCACTTAAAATTATGAAAAGGCATAAAAATGCTTAAATTTATTTATGTTTTTTTCTGGCTGCTGCGGATGGCCATACTTAAGCGCGAGCTACCCAACATCATCGTCATCCAACTCAAGTATCACGTAGGGAAACATCAATTTCGTATACGTAGATATGGTAATTTTTTTAATGTTGCTATTGTTGTTTCAAATGCTGTGGAAGAAGTTTCGGAGTTTGCGGAAGTTTATTTTTGTTCTGGGTGCTAACAACAATGGGGCATTGTAAGTTGTTAATGAACCAAGTGGTTTAATGATACTTGCTTATCGAAAGGGGGGAAAAAAAACCATTAAATAATGGGAAACATATTTTCAACCGATTTTTGGAATCATTAATAATTTCGAGTGTACATTTTATGATTGCACTAAAATAAACTAAAGTTTTTAAAGTTTATCTTTATATTGCAATAACTTTAAAATCCAATTTAACAATGGTCTTTAAGATATAAGTTTCGTAATGGATAATAATGATTTAGTTCCGTGATTATTTATCGATTTGCCCCTTATTTTGTATCCAGGGTGCAGAGTCAATATTTTATTACCCCTTTACCTAATCTTTGACTTTATTGCTTGTGTTTTTGAACCAACCAACTCTTACTTCCACCTTTGTTAGATCAGTATCACGGCAGCCATAAACCACGTTTAAATCAAAAGAGCTTAGCAATTACCATTTCAAATGGTCAAAGTGAATTGAACCGGTTCAACTTGCAGCATTTCCACGTTCGCGAGACCCGCGGAGAAACAAGTCAGTCCGGTCACCAGCAACTGGGAAATCATAACGATTGTCAGTTTAATGACTCCAACATCGATCCACAATGTGCGTAGACAGTGCGTAGACTTGGCTTAGGTCGGGGTTGCCATTTTCGGTGCAGTTTTAATCGCGATGGCGAGTGTGGAGAGGTGGAAACCGGAGGCCAGGCCAAAACCTTGTACCGAGTCGAAGGCCAAGCCCCAAAGCATATATTATATGACAACTTTTGACGATTTATGTTATATATTTACATTTTTTTTTCTCGTGGCGCCGAGTCTGTAATTTGTAAGCTCACTTCGAATGGAGGCAGTCAATTTTGGGCACAAATTTAGACCGCTTGCCGGCTTACGTTTCTCGCATGAGTCATTTAGTTAGGTAAAGTCTTATAATAGTATGGAGCGTGGGAATATTTGTATAAATTATTGGTTTTCAGTTTTTAGCGTGTAAAGCCCAAACGAAAATAAACTCAAATTAAACGCCAATTTAAGGAAGTATTTGAAAACATTATATTTTAAGAATCTTTACTTTTAAATAAAAAAGCTATGTCAAGCTAGTTAACCTTCCGGTTTTGTAAGTCTTATTGGAATTTTTTAATTTTAGTTTATACTCGTTTTATATAATCCGTTGACTGAGTTTCAATGTTGTTTATATTAAAATCCGTATTGGCTGAGTTAGCAGCTTTTATTTATTTCCAATGATTAATTCTTAAGCTTTTAATTAAAATTCTTTGGCCACTTTTAATTTGGTCTTAAGCTTGTGTTTACTTTTTGGCTTAAAGTTGATTTGCATATATTGTCACTCTGTGCCAGACACTATGGCAACGTGATCAGTTTCCAACCCAAACCAATCATATATCATTTTAAATTTCTTGTCGATGAAGACCCCTTTTAGCTGTTCAAAGCAAAGCGAAAAAAGAGATTAATGGCTTTTGCATAAATGTTTGAAAAGCTTTTAGAATTAAAAGTCGCCAATTCTGCGGATTATAGTGGGCAGAGACTTTAATTTGCATTATGCTCTTTTATTGTTTTATGGATTTTTGAAAGGAAACCACATTTGAGTTTCTCTTCCATTCACAATAAATTCCAAACAAATATCCATTAGTCAAATTTAGTTTCTATATTCCCATGCGTCATATAGTTCTACATACAAACATTGGTAAAATCAGCTTGTTGTGTTTTATAATGGAATTAACCAACGCGGAATCACATGGTTAAGTTGTTTGGCCGCTCGAGAGGTGTGCAAAGTTGTCTATAAATTATGCAAATGATTTTGCCTATTTGTTGAGCATTTTTCTCACTCGCTCACACTTTTTTTTTTCAAACTTGCCGAGGAGTGGGCAAAATAAATAAACAAAATGCAAAACGGACCAAAAGCGCGTGCGCCGTAAACCGGAAAAATTTTTGACGAATCTTAATAAAGTATGCAAATAGTAAAAAAAAAAACAAAAAATAGTACTTGTTGCACATTGATTATGCGAATTCGTTGTTGGTGTTGCACTTTTAAGCCGCTCACTCGAGTCCGCTTGTGTAAGGTTAGCGCGTTTAAGCCATTGACAATGAATTGCTGGCCAGGTGAGAGGAGCGACGTGGAATTCAACATATTACGCATACGCAGTGTGGCGCGAGCTTAGTCGCAACTGCAACAAACATTTCCGGCTGCAACAGGAAATGATCGTTGCGATTTTTTTTGTGAGTTTTCTGCCTGTAATTGCTGTGAAGGTTGTTTGATCGAGTGCAATTTGAAGGTGTTGCCAGTTGGCATTTGTTAGATTGCAATGAAAGGTTCTGGCTGTCAAATGGTTAGAGGACTGACACTTTTACAATGTGGTGGTGAAGTTGGGCACGTCTAAGTGCCTGTGTTTTTTTGAAAAACTCATTGTTGTTGTTTTTTATATGCTATATTGAAGGAGACACCTCAGACCTCATAAAGAATCTGAATCAAACTATATTTATAAGTCTGTCCGTCTGTATGATGCAACCCCTTTCCAAATTAAAAAAAAATGGGTTTGGTGAATATTTACCAAAAATCACTACTTCTAAGCCCATCACTTTTCTAATTTTGATCCGATTTTGAAGTGGCATACCTCAAAACGTTTGTATTTGTATTCTCTAACAAACTGCATCATTAGTTAATTTTTTATTTTTTGCGGTATACCTTTAAAAGTTTTTAATTTTAGTTCTCTTACAAACTGCATCTAATTTCATTTACCCTCCTTTTTTTGTCTGCTTTCAGCGATTCCCATTGGGAACTGGACCCCACCCGACATTGACTACAACGAGCGCTTCACCTGGGAAGGTGCCAACGACATGAGCGCCAACTATCGCCACGCCCTCCAGCGCGGACTGCCCTTTCCCATTCTGACCGTGGCCGAGTACTTCAGTCTGGGCCGCGAAGGCTTTTCGTGGGGCGGACAGTACCGGGCGGCAGGATACTTTGCGAGCATTATGCTCTGGGCATCGCTGGCCTCGTGGCTGCTGATGAACCTGCTGCTGATAGCCGTTCCCCGGTACGGGGCCTATATGAAGGCCCTGACCGGTGCACTGCTGGTCTGCACCACGGTGGGCTATCATTGCCTGCTGCCCAAGCGACCGTTGTGCATTTACCTCGAGGGCGGCCGACTGGAGTTCCACTTTGGCTGGTGCTACTGGCTGGTTTTGGTGGCAGGTGAGTGTAAAAGTGTCGAGTTATTCTGAGTAACAAAATTTATATTGGAAAGGCTTAAATAAATAACAATAATTGAAGGTTTTAAAAAATAATAAAGTGTAAAAGTACGAAAAGCAACTGACCTGAAATTGGATATTTAATTTTAAAAACGTAAAATAGTTTTATGTTAACCGTTTTCTTCTATCAACTATTTTGTCTTTCAGGTATTCTCTGCTTCATTGCGGGAGTTCTGATCTCCATAATCGACTTGGTTTGGCCACATACCTTCTCCACGGTTCTGGAGGTCTACTACGGCACTCCCTATGATCGCCATGTGATCCTGGAGGAGTCCAGCGATGTGCGGTATCGCAAGCCGCGCAACAGTCGTGGCTTGGAGGACCCGCCAGGACTGGGTTCTCGAATCCTCCGCCGCCTCAGCTCAAAGGCTCGTGACATGCAACCGGGCACTGCAGCGCGTCGCGATAGTCCTGCCGGAGTGTCCACCAGTGGAGGAGTGGAGAACAAAGGATTCCAGTCGGATGCACCGAAGAGTCCCTGGAGATATCCCTTCCGAAGGTCACAACAACTGGCGCAGCAGCACACGCATCCGCTGCACCAGCATCCGTTGCAGCAGCACCACCAGCACCAGCACCACCACCAGCAGCAGCTGCAGTTCGTGGGTGGCCCGGTGGTGCAGCATCCCATGCATCATATGCAGCGCACCATGTCGCAGGACTCGGGATCCAGCATCGCCTCGGCTGCCGTGCAAATCTCCCCGCTGCACAAGCATGCTTTGGCACGAATGTTGCCGTAAGTTCGTAATTTTACATAAAATCACGTTCTCATTATTAGTGGGAAAACATAGTAATATTGTTGTTTTAATACTTTAAAACATACACAAAATTTATCGTTAAAATTTGTATTTTTTCTGCACTCGTATATTTTTATTATACATATTAAATATCACAAAATCACCTATTTTTAATAAGTCAGTATTAAATTACAGCAGTTTTATTAACATTTAAATACGATTTATCTTACAGAAATCCCCCGGTGGAGCGTATTCGTGACATGGATCACTGGTGATTGCCATTGGACAAACCATAAAAATCAACCATTTTTATTGGGCTTAATTACATCTTGACTAATTGGAAATAATTTAAAAACACAACTTAATAGCAAAAACCATTTGTGATAATTTCTTAATTTAAACAAAACAAATTCAAGACGACGTAGGATGAACAAATTTAATAATTGACATAACAAATAATTTTAACCTAATACCAATAATGAAAACGATGTTAAATTTAACTATAACTTTAATTAAATTATTTTAAATGTTAAGCTAACAGTATAATCACGAACTATGAATCAAATTTAAGCTTACATGTGTTTTAGTGATGTTAAATTGTGATAAGACAATCCTGCCACACATGCACACATAAAACAGACACAGATAAATAAGTACGAAGAACACAGAAGTGTGAGTTATGACAAAGGAGCCGATGTTTATGTTTAATGAGTAATTTATTATTTGTAATATGAATTCAATGCCAGTGTCTTTAACTAATAAGTCGACAAACAAAATGTGTAAAATTTGATTAAGTTTAATTTTTAAGCTTGACAATGTTTAAAAGCGATAAGATTGGAAAAAATACGACGACCTTAAATCTTGCAAAGTTTAATTATTCGGTGGGCTGATTTTCTAAGATATGTAAATTTCCTTTTTTAGACCAAGTTTTAGTCTATTTTTCAAATTTCCCTCCTTTTTTTGGGTCATAGTGTACACTTCTTAGCCCGTCTAACAAGATTTTATTTCCACTTATACTAGTCAAATAAATCAATTATCTCAGCAGAGACTTCTGTTTTGCAGAGTCGCTAAGAAAAGGCAGGACAAAACATTGCCAACGAGTGCAAATAAATAAAAACAAATAAAATGTACTTCATATGCAAGGCGAGCATAAATAGACAGTTATATTGCCCACCCACAGGATGTAAGAGAGCAAGCGAGACGGGTATAGCGATGTCCTGTGTCGCTATCGCACGCTTTTCGGTTTAGAGTTCAAGAATCAAGATTTATGACATTTTTATTACAAAAACGAGCGCAGTTAGTTGTGGGCGGACTGGCTTTCTTTCCCTTTCTTTTTTGGCCCTCTGCATTCTGCATCTACGCTGACTTCAAAAATATGCAGCCAGGCGCGTCAAGCTATTATTTGGACTTGGGCCTTGGAAACGGCAACAGCTACACAGAGAAAATTAAGATTATAGAAATATATAAAAGAGGTTAAAAAAAGTAATTGGTAATAAAAATAAGACAAATTGCTTCCTGGAATATTCGCTTTACGTAGCGAAGTGGTTTTAAACTATAAAACATTTTATTATTATTTTATGTTATATTCTTTTATGATGAAGATCTTGGTTGAACTCTTGGTTGGTTCCTAAGAGACCTTATGTATATATTTAATTTTTTATAGAAAACAATAATTTAAGTATGAATAGTTTTTTTTTTCAGTGCAGTAGTCTGCGCTTGGGTTCGGACTGGGAAATGCCGCCGCATGCAACGGAAGGCGAATAATTCACAAAACAGCAGGCGATACTGCACCACCGTAGGAGCAGTTGGCAGAGCCAAATGCAATGGGAATCTGGGCGCAGGATACAAGAACACCACCTTTGGATGCCTTTTGACTCTCAATTTTAATATAAACAAATTGCAAACGTTCTTATTTATGACATTTTTTCCTCCACCTCTTCGGCATTTTCCGGGCCCTTTTTCTCATTTTTTTTCAAGAACACGATGTGAGAAAGGTCAAAAGAAGGTAGGGTTTCCTAAATTTATGTTTAAATTTTAAATTTTGTTTATGTTGCTTGTTTATTTTAAAGCAGAAGTAATAATAGTCTAGCTACGAAAATATAGTAACGGACAAGAAAGTAATAATTCTTAAGGTTCATTTTTAGATAGATAGATAGATAGATAGATAGATAGATAGATAGATAAATAGATAGATAGATAGATCGATAGATAGATAGATAGATAGATAGATAGATAGATAGATAGATAGATAGATAGATAGATAGATAGATAGATAGATAGATAGATAGATAGATAGATAGATAGATAGATAGATAGATAGATAGATAGATAGATAGATAGATAGATAGATAGATAGATAGATAGATAGATAGATAGATAGATAGATAGATAGATAGATAGATAGATAGATAGATAGATAGATAGATAGATAGATAGATAGATAGATAGATAGATAGATAGATAGATAGATAGATAGATAGATAGATAGATAGATAGATAGATAGATAGATAGATAGATAGATAGATAGATAGATAGATAGATAGATAGATAGATAGATAGATAGATAGATAGATAGATAGATAGATAGATAGATAGATAGATAGATAGATAGATAGATAGATAGATAGATAGATAGATAGATAGATAGATAGATAGATAGATAGATAGATAGATAGATAGATAGATAGATAGATAGATAGATAGATAGATAGATAGATAGATAGATAGATAGATAGATAGATAGATAGATAGATAGATAGATAGATAGATAGATAGATAGATAGATAGATAGATAGATAGATAGATAGATAGATAGATAGATAGATAGATAGATAGATAGATAGATAGATAGATAGATAGATAGATAGATAGATAGATAGATAGATAGATAGATAGATAGATAGATAGATAGATAGATAGATAGATAGATAGATAGATAGATAGATAGATAGATAGATAGATAGATAGATAGATAGATAGATAGATAGATAGATAGATAGATAGATAGATAGATAGATAGATCCCGGAGCACAATAAATACACGTCTGCATGCGACGGTCCATCCGGGTTCGGATGGAAAGCTAGGCTCTAAGCTACCGGGGGGGACGGCAGGTTGCGGATAGCCGGACGGCCTGTAGTAGCAGGTTAGTTGCGAAATAAGTTTAAACGAATAAGCAACCCCCGACAATGAGCGGCAGGAGCGGAGGATGCGGTTTAAAAGCTAGCAAATCCGATGATGTCCCTGTGACAGTGGCGAATAGACACCGCCTCTTCGAAAATATGTGTCCCACTCATCACGCTTAAGCATGAGGAGGTACAAAAACCCAGGGGCATCCCACAGCGGGCGGCTTCCTGGTCGGCGTCTGTTCTCCATGCTAGGAGCGGCCGTAACAACACGCGTAAACCGGTCGGCGGACCATCAGGATGGATACCAGTAAAATCCTGATTATGATACACTGGACTCGGTCGAAACGAAGCATCGGGCTGTGGTTACGGGTCTCTGTTACCTGAGTACGCGGAGTGACATCTTGCTGAAATGGCTCTCAGAAGGATTCGTAGCCTCCTCCGCCCCAATAAAACCTGGCAGGTCTTGCAGAGCGCTCGAAGCGCGTAGTCTTTAGTGACCACGAAGGTTAGGTTGAGATGACTCCCTATTTATTCCGGTTTGAAGTCTGGCTCTGAACACTGGACCCCATAAAGGCCAGTGTCAACCCTCGCATGACCTCACTGATTCAAAGACAACCATGGGACTTACGGAAACTTCGTGCACGCGTGGAGATAGCGGCTGTAAGTTGGGGCCCTTACTGCATGGATTTAAAAGAACTAAACCCAAACAGCAACAACAACGTCGCACACAGCAATGAAAACATTGCAACAGGAGGACTGGCAGAGGTATTTAGGAGGAGTTCTGTGATCGCAAGATCTCCACCATTACCAGCAGCACCAATAAACAATACAAAGGAAGGCGTCTCAAGCCAAAGACGTGTAAACAGACTAGCGCCACAAACAAGCAGTGGTACTGAAACGACCGCTACACCGACGACTCACCTAAACACCAAGGAGTTGGTGAACAATGTCAATGTGCACCAACCAGCACCATTGAATCAAGGCTCACAAGCACTCGTTGTATGCCCGACAGAGAAGGCAGCACCGACACCCACGCTTACACTCGCTAAGGTAGTGGAAAAGCTCGGAAGAGAAATTGACACGCTAGTGCAATATATTGAACCTCGTCGCAACGTACATGGCGATATTAGGAAACTGTGCAGCACCATAAAAAGTGCCCACACAGAAGTTCTTATGCAATTGGAAGCAGAGGAACGCAAGGCAAAATTGTTGCCCACCCCTAAACTGAACAGCCTAAGTACACGTATAAGCGCAAATGCCCCACAGTCGGCGAAAAGAACAAGAGCCAAAAGCCCCAAGGATGCTGCCCCTGCAATGGCGAAATCGCCGCAGGCAAAGAAAAAGAAGGGGGACGACGACTCCCCGCACCCACCAAAAGTGAAAGCATCCAGGACTCAAGGGGAATGGACAAAAGTCGAAAAAAAGGAAACGAAAAGATCAAAAAAATGAGCAAATCCGTCAGGCCGCGGTCTGATGCGATACTTATTGAAAAGAAGGAGCAGCATACAACCTACGCGGACATTCTACGTGCGGTGAGATCTAACACCGAACTGAAGGAGCTCTGCGAAAAGGTCAGGACATTGCGACCAACTCAGAAGGGTGGACTTCTGATCGAGCTAAAGAGGGGCAAGGGCAACGAAGCGAGCTCTTACCACTCGGCAATAGAAAAAGCGTTGGAGAAAATGGCAACGGTAAATGTCAGGACTCACACTGTCACTGTCCAGTGTAGGGGACTCATTCCCGAGCTCAGCACAGACGAGGAACTTCTTGAGGCGATTGCGAAACTGGCTCAAGTGAAACGACCGGACATATCGTCCATCAAAAGCAGGCGCGACACATACGGCGGCACGCAATCCGTTTACGTATCGCTGCAGGCGGAGGTCGCGAAGAAGATCCTAGACCTCGGCCACATAATGGTTGGATGGATCCGATGCCGGATAACCGAGGTCAAAACACCAAAAAGGTGTTACAAATGCTGGGCATACGACCATGTGGCAAACGCGTGTAAAGAACCGGACCGCACAAAGCTTTGCAGACGCTGCGGCACCGAAGGACACCAAGCAGCGAGATGCACAAACGAGGAAAAATGCGCGTTATGTAAAGGGACACATGCAGCAGGCAGCGCGAAATGTCCAAAATACCAGGAGGCAGTCCGTAAAATAAGAATATGAGGGTGCTACAACTGAACACCAACCACTGCAGAACTGCACAGGATCTACTATGGCAAACAACAGCGGAGCATAAAATCGACATAGCCTTACTAACGGAGCCGTACAAAGATATCGAATCACACCGCTGGATTACAGATACTGTGAAGCAGGCGGCAATCTGGATTACGGGAAACAAAACGTTCCAGCAGAAGATGACAACCGGCGGCGGATTTGTATGGGCCAAACTAGACGGCCTCTACTATGTAAGCTGTTACGCGCCCCCAAGGTGGTCTGTAGAAGAATTCACAAGCATGATGACTTCTTTGGAGCTGGAGCTAAGAGGAAAGAGGCCGATTTTGCTTACAGGAGACTTCAACGCCTGGTCAAGAACCTGGGGCAGCGACTTTACAAATGCAAGAGGTCGTCTAGTAGAGGAAACTGCTGCAGCGTTGGACCTTGTTTTACTGAATGCGCCAGGAGTCCACACTTTCGAATGCGCCAGAGGAAGATCGATAATCGACCTAGCCTTCGCAGATCGAGCGACCGCAAATCGAGCAACCTGGAAGGTGGAAGACTCAATCC